GCAGCCATCCTTAGTTTATTTTGCTATGTTTTTCCGAAAAAAATAAGCTCTAAAATGGACAGCGTGCACCATAGCCTGGAGAAAAAGAATAATATCGATGTACGTGCATACGCAGCACGCGTGTTCTCTAGGGCTGCACTAGAGCATTAAGATGAATTCCATGTATGAAATGAAAATTCTAAGAAACTTTAAATCTAGTGGTATTTTTGGGAGGAGTCTAAGCTCTTACGTGGCTCCCCCCCTTGACGAATTCCTGGATCTGCCCTTGAATGGTAATACAAGATCGACAGACCTTTTCACGCAAACAAAAACAAAAACAAAAACAAAAAATGGAGAAACGCTTGAAATGACAAGGGAAGAAACTTAAATGACATGGAATTGGGAGTGAACACTGAACTTGCGGATAGAATACCATGGTGGTAATACCGGAGCACGAGCCACACCCCCAAACACCACTTTATAGGTAGCATGTCATAGCCAGCGGAAAGCCAAACTTAGCGTTTGGTCTGAAGAAGGTAAGAAGTAGGGGAAAAAGAAAGGAAGAATTTAAAAACTTACCCGCCAGCCCACACAGAGCACTCCTTCAGCACACGTAACGGCACGCATTTTAGCAGTTGATCGTGCTGGGCACAGATCGAACGGGGCCCCGATAACAACGGCATATATAAGTGTATCACCTGCTGTGGTATTAGTATCTATCTTTCCCGTAAATTGGGTGTTTCTTCTCATTTTCATATCGTTGTAAAATTTTCGCTTCTCATTGTAATTATTGACTCTAGTTTTGTGGAGAAGGTCTTTCTTTCAGTGCTTTCTAAACTACTGTCACGAATGTCATCCTCATGCCATCCATATGTCAATGTCATCCTGCAACCTTTGCTTGCGCTGACGATGTGCATCTTCGATGAGCGAGGCGCTTTGCTGTCAATTTACATGCTTTGCGATTACTCCAACGCTACCCACAACTGGACAACTCAGCCACTCACCGTACCACTCAATGTCGCCTATCTTTCCACATCTACTCTTTTATCAGGCAGGGGCGTAGCCAGAGCCTTGGCAAGGGGGCACAGGGTTGATAAGAGACCCCCTGAGGGCAAAAGGGCCCCAGAATCGTGATATTTCATCTATTTGTTATGAAAAACATGCTTTCTTCGACATATTATATGCACATATGTCACAGTTTTCTCATTCTTTAACTGGAATCTAGGCCAGACGCCACCGCGAGTCAATTCTGCCTTAGGTTTACAACACACAAACGGACAAAAACATGCGTTAAATGTCTGCATGAAATACATGACACACGCTATTCATCTTACAATAGTCCAGTAGACTCTTTTTAGGCTGAGAGAACTCAGAAATTTGGCCAGAATTTTTATCTGAGTTGTGCGGTGGCAACAAGGATTTCGCGATGAAGATCGAAATGGGTAAACGATTTAAAATTAACACTGCCAAGCCTTCTTTGTCTGGATGCACTCGTCAATTCTGACTGAATGTTGATTGTGGCAAGTGGTAAAATTACGTAACGTAGTTTTAAGCACGCGCGCTCGCATATCTTAGTACAAAAACTCGACGCCAGGCGTTGCAGCCTCTTAAGGCCGCACAGCGTCTTTGGCTAACCCTACGGCTAATTGGCTAATTGGCCTTGGCTAATGGCTAGCACCAAGCTGTGGCCAGCATCTGGACGAAAATGGTGACGCATCTGCAAGAAGTAACTTTGAAGGCTTTTGGACACAAATATGTATACTTAAAGATATTCCGGGCGTTTATTTTACCTGTGCAGTTTACAGATTCGTGACAATAACGCATATTGTTCTTTACAGCACCGCAAAGTGGTGCTGGAATCTGGTGGTGGAACTGGAATAGTACAGGCAAAATCTATATTTTTCGTGTTGCTGTAACTCTTAATCGGCCCAGAGGAGAGCCTGAAAGCTATAAAAAGATTCGCTCGGTAGTCCTTGAGCTGGGCGAATTAGTTTCGAAAAAGATTCGGAATCATTTTTTTGCGAAGGTCATTGCTGCGCGCCTCGGTGCCCCCCCCCCCCCCCCCCCCCCTCTGGCGTTACGTGCATGGACCAACGCCGTCCTGTTTTACGAAAACTGCGACCCAAGCCATCGCCACCCTTGCTCCCCGAAATGACGGGCATGCCATCGGGGCTCTATGTCACACTCAGCTGCTGAGGCTATATAGCGCCGCCAGCCTCTAATCCTGGCGGGAAGGGCGGGCACCGTGGAAAATCGAATTCCGAAACTGTGGTTTTCCAGACGTGCAGTTGTTAACGCGGGCGCGTCAACCACTACGCCACCGGCACCCGACACACAGGCTGAAACCTTTTGAAGGTACTTGTTTCATTAGTCGATTCTCCAAAGGATGAACGTTTTCAAGTAAACATGGCATGGCCTTGTGTGCTTTGAACCCATTTTGCCCCACTCCATTTAACACTCATGAGACCCCTTATTTCCGGTAATGGGGCTCTATTGAGTACAACACGATGGGGCACATTGTTGTTCCCGGTCAATGACTGAAGGCTATTCTGTCCCACCTCGGTGTGTTTTCTGGCCGTCATTCCGGCGACACGGGGCGGCATCCCCTGGCCAATCCGGAGGCCCTTAGAGGGGCACATGATATCACATTGATTCGCCCCCTGACGCGGGAGGTCTCCTAACCCGCATAGTTGACCCTGGATGGACGCATGCACAGTCATCATTAACGCAACAATATCTCCGCTCGCCCCACGTGGTCAAATAATGGGCACATTGCCTTCGGTTGGGTTTAACGGGCCCATATTGGAATAAGGTTGGGTGGCACACCGTTCGGAACGGGGGAACCGACTGGCACAAAACCCTTTCATTGCCTCAATATGAGCACTCATCAGAAGCTCTCTTGTTTCCTTTCATTGTCGGGGGGCCCCGACCAACGCAGGAGGCCCTGTGTCATTTGGGGCCCGTTCCCGTTCCTGTTAAGCAAATCTTCCCATGACCGATTCGAGGCCCCTTGTTGGCAGAATGCCGTTAGGCACTGTAGCCCCTGAACGATGCAGGAGCCCAACCAAAGTAAATCGCGGGTCCGGCCTTCACTCGCCTTGGGAAACAGGCTCCCAGAGCTCATGCCAACACTGAGCCGGCTGTTCGCTGTTCATGATCTCTGGCCGAAATAGAGGAACGCTCTGTCCCAGG